AATGAATAACTGAATGGATGGATGGATGTTTAAATGGATGGAAACAAAAAGAAGTTTCTGTGTATAACTTTTTTCACTTGGTTCACTTTGATTTGATTTTTTTCTTTTTTTTCAGGTTGTTTGGAAATGAAAGTAAAAATATATTTTTTAATTTGTATTCTTTTAAAATATTTTGGACAACGAATATAATTATGCTAAAAACATATAGACAAAACGGGAGGATGGAAAAAAGAACACAACACAAGAATAACAACAACAATAAGAAGAAGAAGAAGAATAATAATCACGACCGCAGGAGAATTGATTTTTCTTCCACACACACACGACAACGACTATTGGAGGTTTTCTTTGTATCCCGTTATCACCATCGCTGTCTACACGAAACTGTTCTAAAGGAAACTCTATAAACATTAATTTCCTGCTCGAATTTAAACACAACCATTTGTCCGCAGCAGCGTCGTCGTAGTCGTATCGAACCCAATTGCCGACCGCACAACATGTTCGCAGTTCGATAATACCACTTGATGGCTTTGATTTTTCAAAAAAGGGGGGAAGCATTGTTGTTGGTGGTGGTGGCGGACAAACAACCAAATAAAATGTTCGTCGCTTGCCATTAACCCCATTTAAGTCAACAGCAAAAAAGTGATGTCAATTTAGCTGTTTTATATACATAAGAAAATCGGGTAAAACTTTTTTTAAAACTCAAAATTTTATTAAAAATTATTTTTTAGAAAATCTACACCTTGTAATGACCCCTAATATTTTTTTACAAATCTACGTCTTGTCCTTGAAAAAATATTTTTTAAAAAATCTACGCCTTGTCCTTGAAAAAATATTTTTTAAAAAATCTACGCCTTGTACTGGTCCTTGAAAAAATATTCTTTAAAAAATCTACGCCTTGTATTGGTCCTTGAAAAAAATATTCTTTACAAAATCTACGCCTTGTATTGGTCCTTGAAAAAAATATTCTTTAAAAAAATCTACGCCTTGTATTGGTCCTTGAAAAAATATTCTTTAAAAAATCTACGCTTTGTATTGGTCCTTGAAAAAAATATTCTTTAAAAAATCTACGCCCTGTATTGGTCCTTGAAAAAATATTCTTTAAAAAATCTACGCCTTGTATTGGTCCTTGGAAAAATAATTTTTAAAAAGTCTAAGCCTTGTATTGGTCCTTGGAAAAATAATTTTTAAAAAGTCTAAGCCTTGCAATGGCCTATAAAGGCCTCTAAAAATTATTTTTAAAAATCTACGCCTTGTGATGACATCTAAAAAACCAGTAAGGAAAGTAGTAAAGTCGGACGGGCCGACTTCACCACTTTGGGTATATTCAACAGATGAATCCTAACAGACGTCGCATTTTTAAAAGACCAGTAAAATGAAATTGGATCCATAAACATGTCATTTTTTAACCGATACTAAATTTTTCATTTGGTCAGATATAGAAGCCATATCTAAATCTGAACCGATTTTCACGAAACTTAACACACATCATTCTAGGCCTAATTCATTACGCTGTGCCAAATTTCGTGCAAATCGAAAGATATATAGGGACTTTGGTACACCATTTACATTAAATCGGACGAAAATATATATGGGAGATATATCTAAATCTGAACCGATTTTTCCCAATATTTCAATAGGGTTCGTCCTTGGGCCAAATAAGTGATCTATGCCAAATTTCATCCAAATAGGATCATAAATGCCACCTGTACTTTGTTCACAAAAATACATGGACGGACGGACATGCGTAAATCGACTCAGAAAGTGATTCCATACATATTCTCAAAAGGAACCATGTGTCTATCTCGTTTCCTTTTGTTTGTTACAAACATATGCACAAAACATAATACCCTGTACCACAGTGTGGTGAAGGGTATAAATAGTAGACATTGAATAGAGAGTATAAAAATCCGATTTAATATAGACCTTGAAAATCCACTCTTATAAGAGCATAAGAACTTCTAATAAAACACCAGTGTCTCTTCATAGAGACCTTGAAAATCATCTTTTACGAAAGCAATGTATCTTCCCATTAAAAACAAATAATGTGGCATCTATGGATTCCTTGCCAATTTATTTTTTCGACAACATCACCCACATTCATTCATGTTTTTTAAGAAGGCAAAAAACCAACACCAACCATTCCCCCCAAAAAATAAATACCCAATGTGGACACACGTCACAAAAAACAGAGGAATAATAAAGCGGCCTAACTCAATAAACACATTTTCTCAATGGCCTGTGTGTAGTAGTTGTAGTAAAAAAAGAATATTAATGAATTGAAGAGAATAGAAAAGGCGAGAAAAAGGCAATTTTGTGTGGGAGTTGATGTATTTCTGTGATGTAGATTTATTCTTCATTATTTGTATTTAATTTTATGGATATTTTTTTTCTTTTGTTTCTGTTTTTTTTTTAGAATAGAAGAGGTCAGGATTTCTAATTTGCATTTTAAAACAATGACCAATAAAGAAACGCAAATAAAAATAGCTTAAAAATAATATGGTTGTATTGGGTTCGGTTAAGTAGAATGTGTTATACTCTATACATGTAGAAAATATATAACATCGATCGGGACTGTTAAAGTGAACAGTACAATAAACTTTGGCAAGGAGTAATTTCTAAAAAAATATTGCAATATTGAGAAGAACTGAAAATAAAAAATAAGGCATTATAGTCGGACCACGACTACTGTATGAAAACCCTGCACAAAATACCGAAATTTTGAATGCATAGTTATTTGTGGGGGCTATCATAATATTTGGGCCAATATTGAAAATTTTTTGTAGGAAGATTTGTCACCCAATGAGGGCCTTTAATATCAAATTATAACCAATTCGGTTGAAACGTGTTTAAAATACCGAATAATGGGAGTTACCGTCATATCGGGGCTATCCCAAATCTTATGCCAGTATTGTTAATTTTGGGTAGGAACAGTGCTTCCCAATGAGAAACCTAAATAACAAATTACAGTCAATTTGAAGGAAAACCACTCCCAAATCTCTTCAGAATATCACATTTTGGGAGGTATCGGTAATTGGGGGTTACCGTAAAAAGTGGACCAATATTGATAATTTTTGGTAAGAAGTTTTACTACCCAATGAGAACCCAAAATATCAAATTACAGCCAATTCGGCTTAAAAAACGTGTCCGAAATATCGAATATTAGGTAATGTCTTTATGCGGTGGCAACCATAAAATTTGCGCCTATATAGAAAACATGTATTGGATAGATTTGCTTCTAATATACCGAATTACAGTCAATTCGAATGAAACAAAGTCTTCAAAATCTTCAAAATACGTGACCAAAATTCCAAATATTAGAGGCTACACTTATGTGGCGGCAACCCTAAAACTTGGGCCAATAATGAAAAAAAAAAATTGTGGATAGATTTTCTACTTAATGAGAACCTAAAATACCAAATTACAGCCATAAAAAGTGGACCAATATTCATCATTTTTGGTAAAAAGTTTTCCTACCCAATGTGAACCCAATATGCCAAATTACAGCCAATTCGGTTTAAAAACGTCCCAAAATACCAAATATTACAAGCCACAATTATGAGGTGGCAACACTAAAACTTGGGCCAATATTCAAAAAAAAATTTGGATAGATTTTCTATCCAATGAGAACCCTAAATACCAAATTACAGTCAGTTAGAATGGAAAACGTCCACAAACATTTCAGAATATCGAAATTTGAGAGTTACCGTTATATGGGGGCTATCATAAAAAGTGAACCAATATTGATGATTTTTGGTATAAACATTTGCTACCCAATGGGGATCCAAAATACCTAATTACATCCAATTCGGCTTAAAAATGTGTCCAAAACACCTAATTTTAGGGGGTTTCGTGTGTGGTGGCAACCCTTAAAATTGGGCCAATATTGAAAAAAATGTGTGAATAGACTTACTACTTAACGAGAACCCCAAAATACCGATTTACAGTCAATTCGGATGAAAAAATTCTCCAAACTTCTCAAAATACAGAAATTTGGAAGGTACCGGTATATGGGGGCTACCATAAAAAGAGGACCAATATTCAATATTTTTAGTGGGATGATGTTCTACTCAATGAGAATCCAAAAAAAGAAATTAGTTTTGTTCAAATCGGACATTCCATTCGCCTGATATTGGATTTATAAAAATTGAAAATGTTGACCCTTTGGGGGGGAGTGGAGTGGGTCCCATCTTCAAACTTTATATAGGTTTGGTAAAGATAATAGAATGTGCAAGTTTGGTTCAAATCGGTCATTACGTACGCCTAATATTGGTTGGTGGGGAAGGTACCAAGGTATATACCCTCATTAGCCATAAGGCTGAGGGTGTAAGAAGTGGACCGAAATTGGATGTGAATCGTGCTCAATATTATCAAAATATCATACGTTTTGGGGTACGGTTATATGGGACAGACAAAGGCAATCATCGAACTCCCTGAAAAAAAACATATTCCTATGCAAAATTTCAGCCACATTCTCAATATCTTCAAGAAATTGGGCGATTACAACAGACAAACCGAGGGATATGGCAAGATCGTGTTAGAAGTTTACCCTAATCAAGGATATATACAATGTATAGGGTCGGAAATGTGTTTAAAATCGGTCATAAAGGCTTCAAATTGCATTTTTTAAATAAATAAATATTTCAAGGAATTACAAATGTAGTGACAAAATCAATATACCCTCTATACTACGGAAGAGAGTATCAAAAAGAATCATTCGAAAAGTAATACCAGATTTTTCAACATCTGTTGAGTATTTGAGAGGATGAAATGTTTTTAAATGTAAATCAAATATAGTTTGAGTAAGTACATCGTTGTGTATGCCACATCAAAAGGGCATATACATTTTCTCTCTTATAAATTCCATATAAACTTTATTGAAAAAAAAAAGAAACAGTATTTAAAACTATTAAACTACTTAAGCCAAAATACAATATTTTTGTCCTTAAAACAACTAAGCTACAAAAATTACCTTCTATATTTATTTTGTACTGCGGCTTTCGCTTTAATCATCATCCAAACGTTTGCGGGCATTTCCTTTGGCAGCAAATTTTCGTTTTTTAAATGAGGTCGAAGTGCTGCTGGCAACTTCAGGATCTAAATTTGTTATGGTTTTTTCTTTGAAACGTTTAACGGGCGGCTCATAGGGTATATCGGAAACAACAGGTGCAATGTAATGGTTATTTACTTGAGGTAGTTCTAAATCAATGGGTACTGGGGGAGGTCTAAAGAAAATAAAGGGTATTTTAGATATGTAAATTAGATAATATGTGATGAACTTACTTTGTTTCCACAACCTGCCACTGTCCCATTTCTGGGGCCTTTGCCTCTTCTTCCGTCTTGAAGGTTTCCCGAACCTCCTCTTCAGCCTTTTTCTCAGCCGCTGTGGTGTGACGTTGAAAAACTTTTAGCCTTTCGCGGTTATAACGTGCCACCTCTTCATTGACATTTTCACGAAACTTTTTCGCCTCTTCGGCTTGTTTCAGTTCCTGTTGTTGCACAGCCAAATCATTAATGCGTTGATATTCCTCCCATGAGAGATAACCTTCTTTGGGCGCTTCCCAAACACTTTCATTTGTCTTGACATTCCAATAATAGGAATAACCTTCATCGGTTTTACCCTCAACCCAAAGGGAGGCATTTGGTACGGCATTGGGATCGGGTTTCTTGGCCACAGATACACGTGGTAAATCGTCTTCATCTTCAGGACCGGCTAAACGTAACGGATCTTGTTGACGATATTTATTGGAAGGTGGTGGGCCCATTTCAGTACCTCCTGTTGATGTGGAGGGGCCTACGCCAGCCGTCATTACGGCATTTATCGACTTGGCTGTCATATCACCACGACTGTGTATGTCCATGGCATAGGAACGCATGGCCGCTTCCTCCATTTTGCGAATTTCCAAATCCATTTTACGTTTTTCCTGTTCGGCCTTTTCGCTGTTACGGCTAATGTCCGTAATGCGTTTGGCCACGTTCATTTTATGTCGCTTGCCATTCTCGTGGAACGAAATGCTCTGGTAAGAAGGTAGAGGAAAAATTATATTTTACACAAATGATAGTAAACGTGAGAATATAAATTGGAAGGCATCGCTGTTGAAGGATTCGATAATGGAAGTGGTTCCATGGCCAGTAGCTTACTTACCGCCTTATTGTCACTTATCCAACATTTACAGAAATCGCAATATTTTCGCTCATTTGATACCCAGTAATCTGCCCTAATAACAACAACAAAACAAATATTTATTAATTATTGTATTTCCTGGAATTCATTTTGTTGTTAACTTACATTTTTGCCGCTGCCTTGATGAAAAACGTTTGTTTACAAGTTCTTCTTCTTAACTACTAACTAATGTCTGGCATTCACCATGTATTGATAACACAATTACTCACATTGAAATGTGCTCAACACAAAACCAT